GCAGTGGTTATAAGTTTTGTATATGCGTCGTGTGACAATTGTTTTAATTTACTGTCGATCACCGGTTGAGTTCCTTGAGCTGTAGCCGTCGTATTATTAGTAGAACTTCTAGAACTAGATTTAGAAGCATGGTCGGCGATGTCTGCAGTTTCATCGATTCCCGTCCCTAGAAGTTTCTCAAAATATATAGCAGCTTTGTGTGTTTTTGAATTTAAATCTCTAAATACAGTATGTTTACTGATAAAAGTTGTCCCCACAACATACTTCTCAAACTCTGTTAATGTTTTGCCTCATAAATGCTGAGAATGTGAAACTTTTTCGTGGTGCCGGGCACAAATTTTGCACCAAATATTAATTACAAATTGGCGGCCTTGTGAATCCGTTTTGGTATTAGAACCAATTACAGAGTTGACATCCCAATTATTAAATGTGTGTAGTTGTACACAATTTCGGTGTTGAGACATTTTTTAGTCAATATTTCTATTGATTGTATCCAAATTCTAGCAGACGAATACGCTCATTTACCGGTCTTATGCTTACAAAAGAAAACACTACCTTGGACGTTCGAGTAAATCTCTGGCTCAATGCCAAAGGCGGGAAAGGAATGTATATATATCCTGATTATCCAGACGCATTCTATATGACCACGTCAAAAATTCATAACGTTATATTTATTCAAATTTCACAATCAAAAACTCTTACAAAACTAACGTCGTAACACGGAAAGCATTTAATTTAAAAACGATCAAATCATTTATTACTAATGTAATACTATCACTAATAAATAATAATATACTATTCAAAAAAAGTAGGGGATATTTGATTTTGGGGGCATAATACTAAAATATGCAAATGACTACGAAAAAAGTCACTATAGAACCCAACAGAAGAAACATTTCCAGTTACATGTGACGCCCAAACGCACCAATAGCTACCGCATGGAATGCAGGTGATGCTTGGGATCATCATGGGGGTCCAACCCAAGATTTGCACGACTCTGACTTTGAATGTTACAGTCATTGTGGCATTGAATTCCAGGGTGGAAACATCAGTTTAATTGTTTTAGTGACCAGAAAACAAATTTTGATATGCGTCGGCTTACCCAAAATGCAGGTTACGTGCCCTTGGCATGCTACAGATCGGCACAACACAGGCGGTTGTGGCGCGGACGATGAATGTTTCTCAGTCTGTCATAAGCAGGCTATGGTCCAGATACCGTGATACACAATCTGTACAGGACAGACCACGCTCAGGTCGACCAAGGGCGACAACTCAAGCCCAGGATCGATTTATCCGTACCTTGGCCTTGAGAAATCGTGTCATCACAGCAAATCAGATCAGCGCTCGTCTTCAAACAGACACTGGTGTGAGAGTGAGTGGCCAGACGATTCGGAATCGACTGCATAGGGGTCACCTTCGCGCCCGACGTCCTCGCGTGATCCCTTGTTTGAGAGATCATCACATTCAGGCAAGACGTCGTTGGTGTAGGGATCGTCAACACTGGGATAATCGACGCTGGAGCAATGTGATGTTTTCAGATGAGTCAAGGTTCACTGTTGATTTTTTGGACAGACGTAGGAGGGTGTGGCGTCGTCGAAACGAGCGCTTCCAAGACGTTAACGTCATCAGACATGATCGATTTGGGGGTGGTTCTGTTATGGTGTGGGGAGGCATCACTGTTGCTGGAAGAACGGCTTTACATGTTGTTGCAGGGCGTGTTACAGGCCAGTACTACCGGGACAACATCTTGGCAGTCCATGTTGTGCCGTTCGCACGACGTCATGGCCGCCGTTTCATCTTCCAGGATGACAACGCAAGATGTCACAGGGCCAGGATCGTTACAGGTTACCTCCAACAACAGAACATCACCACATTAACTTGGCCAGCACTGAGTCCCGACCTCTCCCCCATCGAGCATGTCTGGGACATGCTTGGACAGAGGTTACGTCAACGTCAACAACGTCCTGCCAATGTCCAAGAACTTGCTGCTGCGTTGCAACAGGAATGGGACAATCTGGACCAAAATGACCTTAGACGTCTCATTAGGAGTATGCCACGTCGGATCAATGCTTGTTTGGCAAACAGAGGAGGATTTACCCGTTACTGACTTGGTTGTGATGCTGTGGTAACTTTGCTGTTTGACCCCGGGTATCATTTTACCCTTATAATGGTCAGTCTGTGCCTTACTTAGTCTAACAATCATTTGGAATAAATCGATGAATGTGAACTTCATTTCATTTTGTCATTTGTTTCTTCGTCAGTTTCATTAGGTGACTTTAATAACACTTAAAAATCAAATATCCCCTACTTTTTTTGAATAGTATATATCGTGAATGCAAACGTCATGGAGAGACTTGACAACCGAGCTAATAATCTTCAACCCAAATGTCTCGATACCATAACAAAACGACTCTTCACGATTTTCGGATCAATAATATTTTATTTAACTTTTCAAGCTCGACTTTCTTGATAAAACTGTCGAAATTGTCTGAATTTTTAGCAGGAGCTATAACCTGCGCTTGTGTTTTCAAGATTACAGACGCAGTACCATATTTTTACACTATTTGCGTACATGCGCTGGCCATTTTGTCCGGCCATTCTGTCCGGCAGTTTTGGTCCGATTTTCCCGAAATCCAAACTCAACCTTTATTACGGTGTAATGGTGATATAATGAAACGTTTTTTTAAATCAGATAATAATTGTGACCTTCAGAGGGACCACAAGCTAAAAAAGGCGATTTTTCGTAAAATCAGGAGCCATAATTCAGGAATTTACGATCCGATATGAGCAAATATCGAAAGGACCCAAGATCTTTTTTTAAAAAGGTGATTTTTTGTATAATACCGGGCCATAATTCAGGAAGTTACGATTCGATATGCGCAAATATCGAAAGGATTCAAGATTTTGTGGTTACTTACATGCATTTCAAGTTTCATCAAAATAGGATTAAAATTGAGACCTCTAAGGGTCAACAACCTTGATATATCATATTTTTACACCATTCGCGTACAAACGGCGGCCATTTATCCGGCAATTTTGGTCCGATTTTCACAAAATACAAACTCAACCTTCATTACGGTGTAATGGTGATATAATCAAACGTTTTTTTAAATTGGAAAATATTTGTGTCCACTAGAGGGACCACGAGCTAAACCAACGGCTGCCAGACAGGATACGCCCACATTTTGCAAGAGATGGATAGAGAACAAGCTAAAAACAATAACGATTTTTTGCACAATCAGGTCATAATCCAGAAAGTTATGGTCTGAAATGTGCAAATATCAAAAGGGACTGAGATTTTTGGAATAGAAAGATATGTTTTACGTTTCATCAAAATTGGATAAAAATTGTGACCTCTACAGAGTCCATAACCTTTGTTTAACATACTTATACACAATTTGCGTACAAAAAGAGGCCATGTTGTCGGGCAGTTTCATTTCGATTTTCCCGAAATTTCAATTCAACCTTCATTATGGTGGAATGGTGATTTAAAATCAGAAAAAAAATTGTGACCTCTAGAGAATACACAGCTAAAAATGCGATTTTTCGACCAATCAGGGACCATAATCCAGGAAGTTACGTTCGGATATGTATGATTATCAAAAGGAACCAAGATCTTTATGATAAAAACATATATTTAAAGTTTCATCCAAATCATATATAAATTGTGACCTCTACAGGCTCCACAACCTTGATATACCATATTTTTACACCATTCGCGTACAAGTGGCGGCATTTTGTCCGGCAGTTTTGGTCCGATTTTCACGAAATTCATACCAAACCTTTATTACGATTTCATATGCACGAAAATAGAAAGGAACCAAGATATTTGGGTTATAAACATGCATTTCAAATTTCATGAAAATCAGATGACAATTGTGACTTCCAAAGGGTCCACAACCCAGATACACAATATTTTGACACAATATTTACGAAATTCAAACTCAACCATCCTTAGGGTGTAACGATGATATATTCAAACGTTTTCTAAAATCGGATAAAAATTGTGACCTCTATGGGGTCCACAAGCTAAAAACATGGTTTTTCGCACAATCAGGGGCCATAAATCAGGAAGTTAGGGTTCAATATGCACGACCATCGAGATGAAACGAGATCTTTGGGTTATAAACTTACATTTATAATTTCAACAAAATCGGATAAAAATTGTGACCTCTATAGGGTCCACAACCTTGACATACCATATTTTTACGCTATTTGAGAACAAAGGGCGGCCATTTTGCCTGTCAGTTTTGGGCCGATTTCTACGAAATGCGAACTCAGGCGTCCTTAGGGTGTAACGGTGATATAAAAATACGATTTTTTAAATCGGATAAAAATTATGACCTCCATAGGGTCCACAAGCTAAAAACGTGATTTTTCGTACAATCAGGGGCCATAATTCAGGAAGTTACGGTCCGATATGCGCGAATATTGAAAGGCACCGAGATCTTTGGGTTATAAACTTACATTTCAAGTTTCAACAAAATCGGATAAAAATTGTGACCTCTATAGGGTCCACAAACTTGATATACCATATTTTTACGCTATTTGAGATTTTTCGTACAATCAGGGGCCATAATTCAGGAAGTTACGGTCCGATATGCGCGAATATTGAAAGGCACCGAGATCTTTGGGTTATAAACTTACATTTCAAGTTTCAACAAAATCGGATCAAAAATGGGACCTCTATAGGGTCCACAAACTTGATATACCATATTTTTACGCTATTTGAGAAGGAACTGCGGCCATTTTGTTTGTCAGTTTTGGGCCGATTTTCAAATAATTCGAACTCAGCCATCCTTAGGGTGTAACGGTTTTATACTAAAACGGTTTTTTAAATCGTGGTACGTGGTTTTCGTACAATCAAGGGCCATAATCCATGAAGTTATGACCTGTAGAGTGTCCACAAACAAATTGTGGACGGACAGGGGCGACGACAATATACGTTCACATGAAAATGTGGGCTTATAAAAACCATCTCATCACCCTGCAAATCTTACTTCTTAGATCTTCTTTTTTCTGCTCGCTCTTCTCTTTCTGTTTTCTTCTTCCTCTTAGACTTTTTGGAATGTTTAACATGTCTAGGTCTGCAACAAGGAAAAGAAGGAGTGGTCGTGTTAATAAGAATTACATTTTTTTACACAATTATGAAAATCAAGATAGTATTATTTATACTATGTTAATTTCTTAATGCATCTAACATTGAGTTACACTAAATGTAACATCAATATTTAGCTGAACTGATTTAGTCCATAATAATAAATGTTAATTACAGCAGTTTTAATATCAAAAGTGCACCACACATAAACAGCACCACACATAAACAGTAACACAAGACAAACCTACGGACATAACACAAAATACACCTTAACCAACAATGTATATAACAGATCAAGTGAATGGATCCGGAAGCTAGCTGTAAGCGTCTACTGCACTTGTATGCAAGAGCTAAAGCTGCCTATTGCAGGCATTTTTTCTAGCTTCAAATATTGTAAAGGAAGTTGACACTTTGTGTATACGAGGGCTAGCTGAACATTTCTAAACCTATTTTTCAATGGTTTCCATTTTTTTTTTTTTTACTACATACCGATAGTCCCTTCGAAGTGTACACACTTCTGCCAACGATGTTGCAAGGCCTGGAAATTTTCTTTAGCCACCCTAAAATAAGTTGTTCACAACTGAAATGATGTCATCATTACTAGGAAAATGACGACCGGCTAGGTTCTTTCTCATTTTGGGAAACCGGTGGAAGACTGACAGGGCCAAATCAGGCAAAAAAATTATCAGGATATGCTTCAAAACGGGTGTAATGGTGATATATATTCGAACGTCTTTTTTAAATCGGATAATAATTGTGACCTCTAGAGGGACCACAAGCTAAAAAGCGATTTTGCTTACAATCAGAGGCCATAATTCAGGAAGTTACGATCGATATGCGTGAATATTGAAAGGGACCAAGATCTCTGGGTTATAAACATGTATTTCAAGTTTCATCAAAATCAGATGAAAATTGTGACCTCAAGAATATTGTGACAGTATTTGCGAACAAAGTGCGGCCATTTTGTCTGTCAGTTTCAGTCCGATTTTTACGAAATTATAACTCAACCATCCTTAGGGAGTAACAGTGATATACTTAAAAGTCTTTTTAAATCGGATTAAAATTGTGACCTCTATGGGGCCCACAAGCTAAAAACGCAATTTTTCGTACAATCAGGGGCCATAATTCAGGAAGTTACAGTCCGATATGCGCGAATATTTAAAGGAACCGAGATCTTTGGGTTATAAACTTACGTTTCAAGTTTTATCAAATTCAGAAGAAAATTGTGACCTCTAGAGGGTCCACAACATTGATATACCATATTTTTACACTATTTGAGAACGGAGGATGGCTATTTTGTCTGTCAGTTTAAGTCGATTTTCACGAAATTCTAACTCCACCATCCTTAGGGTGTAACGGTTTTATACTAAAACGTTTTTTTAAATCGGATGAAAATTATGACCTCTATAGGGCCCACAATCTAAAAACACTATTTTTCGTACAATCAGGGGGCCATAATTCAGGAAGTTATGGTCCGATGAAATCTGTGGGTTATAATCATACATTTCAAGTTTAAATCAAATCGGATAAAAATTGTGACCTCTACAGTGTTCACAAGCTAAAAACGTGATTTTTCGTACAATCAGGGGCCATAATCCATTAAGTTACAGTCCGATACATGCCAATATCGAAAGAAACCGAGATCTTTGGGTGATAAACCTATATTTTAAGTTTCATTGAAATCGGATAAAAATTGTGACCTGTAGAGTGTTCACAAACAATTGTGGACGAACGGACGGGGGGGCGAGACAATATACGTCCACATGAAAATACAAACAATATTTTTATCCTATTTGAGAACGATGGGCGGCCATTTTGTCTGTCAGTTTTGGTCCGATTTTCACGAAATTCAAACTCAGCCATATTCTAACAGTTTTTTTAAATCGGATAAAAATTATGACCTCTATAGGGTCCACAAGCTAAAAATGCGATTTTTCGTACAATCAGGGGTCATAATCCATGAAGTTACGGTCCGATACATGCCAATATCGAAAGGAACAGAGATCTTAGTGAGATAAACCTATATTTCAAGTTTCGTTGAAATCGGATAAAAATTGTGACCTGTAGACTGTCCACAAATAATCGTGGACCTCCGGATGGACAGGAGCGACGACAATATACGTCCAGATGAAAATGTGGGCGTATAAAAACTGACTAAGATCTTACAATTTTTCTTTCTCTTTAGGATCTTTTGGTGAAGGATCTTCTTGGTAAAGTCTGGTACCATAGAAATACCAATAGGTGGCACCATTTAAATCATGACCTAATGGTTCAACTCTCATATTATCACCATCATGACCCTGATAATAATAATAATAATAATTATCAAGTATCATCACGTAATATTTAAAATTACTTTATTTTAAGGACAGGTTGCCAGGCAATGAAACATACGCCGACAGCAGCTAACTTGTCCGAGCTGTCAACAAGGGTTGTCGCATATTCATTCTTTTGTAGGTAATGGGTGCATTTAGAGACACCGATATCAATCTAATATAGATCAGATGATAAATTTTGTTGTCAGACCATTCACACGGTTCAACAAAGTGAAATAAGGACCTTAACTTTAGAAGTTATATTCGGAAATTGTTGAAATTTAATAGGCGTCTTCGTTCTACTGATTAAAATAATGCATATACATTTCATACAGATCGGGCGATAAATTTTGTCGATGGAGCATCAACAAAGTGAAACAAGGGCCATAACCTCTAGAAGTTATTAAAGGAAACTGCTGAAATTCAATAGGTTTCTTCGGTTTTTTTTTCTAATCTAAATAATGCATATAGATCTAATATAGATCGGATCATAACTTTTGTCGTCAGGGGTTTAACAAAGTGAAACAAGGGCCATAACTCTAGAAGTAATTAATGGAAATTGCTGAAATTCAATAAGTTTTATCATTTTACTACTTTAAATAATGCATATGAATTTAACACAAATTGGATGACAGCTTTAGTCGTTATGTCGATAGAGCGTTCACAAGGTTAAACAAGCCAACAGTGAGGCTGATGTCCCCCGCCGAAATAGGAAAATAATTAGAGGACACATATAAATTTATCACAAATTATCTTTTACAAAGTATTGAACAATCAAACAGTATATCTTTACTTATAGTCTAACAATCAAAGTAGGAGAGTTATTGTTTTCCAAAGTCTCGACCAATCAAATTGCGTATCGCTCTGCTTACCCTGAGCAGAAAATGCTCATTATCAAACTTAGTCAAGGTATTACTGTAATGAAACTATACACCAAGTTTCATCAATCTCACTTAATTAGAACTAAAGTTATCGTGTCCCAAAGCATCAACCAATCAAATTGCTTATCTCTGCTTACCCTAAGCGGAAAATGCTCATCTTCGAACTCCATCAAGGCATTGACCTAATCAACACATACACCAAGTTTGAACATTCTAGCTCAATTAGGAAGAGAGTTATCGTGCCCCAAAGTATCAACCAATCAAATTGCTGCTTACCCTGAGCAGAAAATGCTCATTATCAAACTTAGTCAAGGTATTACTGTCATGAAACTATACACCAAGTTTCATCAATCTCACTTAATTAGAACTAAAGTTATCGTGTCCCAAAGCATCAACCAATCAAATTGCTTATCTCTGCTTACCCTAAGCGGAAAATGCTCATCTTCGAACTCCATCAAGGCATTGACCTAATCAACACATACACCAAGTTTGAACATTCTAGCTCAATTAGGAAGAGAGTTATCGTGCCCCAAAGTATCAACCAATCAAATTGCTTATCTCTGCTTACCCTAAGCGGAAAATGCTCATCTTCGAACTCCATCAAGGCATTGACCTAATAAACACATACACCAAGTTTGAACATTCTAGCTCAATTAAAAGTTATCGTGTCCCAAAGCATCAACCAATCAAATTGCTTATCTCTGCTTACCCTAAGCGGAAAATGCTCATCTTCGAACTCCATCAAGGCATTGACCTAATCAACACATACACCAAGTTTGAACATTCTAGCCCAATTAGGAAGAGAGTTATCGTGTCCCAAAGCATCAACCAATCAAATTGCTTATCTCTGCTTACCCTAAGCGGAAAATGCTCATCTTCGAACTCCATCAAGGCATTGACCTAATAAACACATACACCAAGTTTGAACATTCTAGCTCAATTAGGAAGAGAGTTATTGTGTCCCAAAAAGTGTGACGGACAGACAGACAGACGGACGAACCCATTTTAATAGTCCCCTGCTTTCTTCGAAAGGCGGGGGACAACAAAGTGAAACAAAGACCATAACTCTAGAGAAATAATTAACAGAAATTGTTGAAATTCAATAGGCTTCTAGGTTTTACTAATTTTTATAATCTATGTGTATTTACTACAGATCGGATGATAACTTAAGATGTTAGAGAGTTCACAGCGTTCTACAAATTGAAACGAGCTAGAAGTAGTTATACATATATAAATGTCAAAAAGATGGCTAGCTTGTCAGCTTGTTCATTGCCGAAAATATTGATGTGGGAGGGGATCCATGCAAGGACTACCTCTCTTCCGTTATTCTTGATTGTTTGATTGATATCCCTAATTTGGTGGATTATGCCCTGTCTGCTTTTGGAATAATCTGATTCGATGGATTTGATGCTACTTAGGGAGTCTGATAGGATAACGGCTTTTTGGTGTGTTTGCGTGGCTAGCCATTCTATTGCAGTTTTAATGGCCATCAGTTCTGCGGTGTACACAGAACAATGTTCTGGTATCCTTTTCCTGATGTTTAGCTTTGCTTTGGGTATGAAAATGCTGTACCCTGTTAATCCCTGTGTATTATTTTTCGATCCATATGTATAGATTTTGAGATAGTCTGCCCATTTGGTGTCTATTAGTTCTAATGCTAGTGCTCTAGCCTCTATGGGATTAGCGTGTTTGTTTGTAACGTTAATTAGGTGCGTGTTGATGATTAGATCGCTTAGTTGCCAGGGTGGAGTGACGGGATAAGTTTTTGTTTCTATGATTGTTCCTTTTAAACCGTGCTTATTTAAGACATCGTTTGACATTTGCCCGAATGTCATGGGACGCGTATTTTTTCTATAGCCTATGCATTTGAATTGTTGGAGGCACTTATATGTCGGACATTTTTCTTTTAGCATTTGCAGTTTACCCCAGTACTTGAGTGACAGTTCCTCTCGCCTGAGATCGAGCGGGAGTTCTCCCATCTCTTGTAAAAGGGCAACTGTTTTGGTTCCTATTGCTGCTCTTGTTACTAGTCTTAATGCTTTACCTTGTATTATGTTCAATTTATTTAGTTGTGTATCACTTGCATTTGCATAAGCCAGACATCCGTAGTCGATTACCAAGCGGATGAGTGCTCTGTATATTAACATAAGAGTGCTTCTATTTGCGCCCCATTGCGTTCCTCTGATGTATTTCATTAAGTTGAGTGGTTTCCAAGAAAGTTTGGAGTCAGATATCATTCCTAAAAATTTGAATTCTATTTTTGAGCCGCTAAGATTTAAGTCTATTTTCCTGTTAGTGTCAGTCGGATGAAACATTATTGCTACTGTTTTCCCTTCTGAAATTTTGAAACCCCAGTTGTCTGCCCACTTTGAGATTTGTTTTAGGGTATATTGAAGCGATTGTTTGATTATACCTATGTTATTTAAGCTTTCCAGAACGAGCTGTCGTCAGCAAATAGTGCGGATTCTGTGCCCTTCCCCCCGTAGCTTGGGAGATCATTTATCATTATATTGAATAGTATTGGGCTGATAACGGATCCTTGCGGCGTTCCGTTTTCCATTTTGAATTTGTCACTTAAGCAATTACCTACGCGTACTCTGATATGCCTATCGTTCAGAAAGTCTTCAATCCATTTGTACTTTCGGCCTTTGATTTTCGCGTTATGGAGTTTGTGTAAAAGACCATCCACCCATACAAGGTCGATGGCCTTTGTTAAGTCAACAAAGATTGCGCAGAGGTATCAAGTACAATCACATATTTATATGGAATTACTTCTAGCCAAGTGTTGACATAAATAAGCATTGATGTAATAATGTACAATATAAAAATAAAACAATGGTAAACAAGCCAACAGTGAGGCTGATGTCCCCTGCCGAAATCCCCAAATAAATAGATGACACATATTAATTAATCTTACATCTATTTTTTTCAAAAGTATCAAGCAATCAAACTGATTATCAACTATACACTAAGTTTCATCACTCTCTATCAGATAGAATCAAAGTTATCTTGTCCCAAAGCAGGAAATTGCTTATCTCTGCTTAGCTTTAGCTCAATATGTTAATCATTGAACTCAGTCAAGACGAACATCTACATCAAGTTTAAACATTCTACCTCAATTAGAAGAAGAGTTTGACCAATCAAAATGCTTATTGCTCGTTAGCCTAAGCAGAAAATTCTCATCATCGAACTTAGTCAAGGTATTGATGTAATGAAACTATACACCAAGTTTCATCACTCTCACTTAATTAGAACTAAAGTTATCGTGTCCCAAAGCATCAACCAATCAAATTGCTTATCTCTGCTTACCCTAAGCCGAAAATGCTCATCATCGAACTCCATCAAGGCATTGACCTAATAAACACCTACACCAAGTTTGAACATTCTAGGTCAATTAGAAGGAGAGTTATTGTGTCCCAAAAAGTGTGACAGACAGACAGACAGACGAACCCATTTTAATAGTCCCCTGCTTTCTTCGAAAGGCGGGGGACAAATAAAACAATTAACAGATTAATCATACGATTGGCATGTTCACCAGACAGGCCATATTAACAGTTACTTTCTGTCTGTAAAAGTTTTACAAACAATAAGGGATTATAATAATTTAACATGTCATTAGCATTACATAACATTTCATCATTGGCTAGTCACCTTTCAATAGCACACCTATAATTAATGTTTTAAAGGAATGGAATAGTTATTGTCCTGAGAGTTTAAATAAATTCAATCTTAAGGGTTTCACTTTTAAAATAAATAATGCATTATCTTAAATATTCAAGATTTAAATTATACTATAACCTGCACGGTTATAATAACAATAACAATACATGTACTTTTTTTATCTAGCTGTGAATTCAAAGTAGTCACGTATACATGTTTGTTTAGTAATACTGGATATCTGGCCCCCAAATATTTCTTTTACTTCCACAAATTGCAGGCAGCTTCGACTTCCATTCTTCGGCCACTTTACCGTCCACATCTGCACGCTCGCCACTCATTGTACCCGACACAATATTATTTCTTTTACAAAAGGCGTTCAACCATACATTGGATGCTTTAATTTGTAGCAAATTTTAAGGCTTTTGCCTGTAATAAGGGTCCATTTATAGGGGCATTGCGAGTTCTACAATCCTGGAAAAAATTCCAGACCAAATCCTTAATGTCTTCATTACCTGTCGACCTTTTCGTGCGCTTCTTGTGAGGTGATGAATTATTTTCAAAATCGTCTAATATTTCTGCCTTTCTTCAAGAGAGAGAGAGAGAGAAATGGGGTTTAACGTCCACTCAACACAAACTAGGTCATTTCGGGACTAACATATGGTTTAATTTTCTTTCAATAATTCGCTTGTGCGTAGTGGTCTTTAGCTGTGGGAGGAAACCGGAGGACCCGGAGAAAACCCACGAGGTTGGACAGGCGACCCTACTCCTTGTCACGTACAACCGGGGATTCGAAACAACGCCAGTTGACTCAATGACAGGCCTTTCTTCAAGTGTCAAAACTTTTTGAGTAGGTGTAAGAACTTTACGAGGCGTAGTAATATTAGACATATCGATAAACAATGTCTTATCAATTCAGACTCTTTCTTATATATCATCATTGGCTTGGATATGAATAGAATATTGATTAATGGTTAAAATTATCAGCTTGGGGTGTGAGTAAACTTGTTAATTAGGGATAGTTAGTTCAAGCCAAGCGAGTAAATTGTGTCAAGATTAGTGACAGTTCAGTCTTGTTCGCTCAAGCGAGAAAATGATTCTCCGAGATTTACTATGATGTGCTCGCTTAATGGATGAAATAGCATGATCTGGGGCTAATATAGACGCCCGTTGCACGCGTTGAACAGGTGCGTGTTCAGAAGGGGTTAAATTACTTAAAAATCGCTCGGGGGGGATTTTTTGGTGCTCGTTAAAGCAAGTGTTCACTGATTAGGAGTGCACGCCCGAGCAAGTTCTACTGTATATACATTCAGAGTATTTTTTCTTAAGTACAATGTGGACATAAAGATAGGTTGCCAGGCAACGAAACATACGCCCACAGCAGCTATATCGTCCGGGCGGTCAACAAGGTCGTCTCATGACCTTAAACACTGTGTATAAATTTAAAGTCAATCGAACATTAACTTTAGCCTCTAGAGCGTCCACAAGATTTTTTAAAGTGATCAAGGGCCATAACTCTGGCAGTAATTATCGGAAATCGCTGAAAATCAATAAGCTTCTTCGTCTCATGACCTTAAACACTGTGTATAAATTTAAAGTCAATCGAACATTAACTTTGACCTTTAGAGCATCCGCAAGATTTTTTGAAGTGATCAAGGGCCATAACTCTGGCAGTAATTATCGAAAATCGCTGAAAATCAATAGGCTTCTTCATCTCACGACCTTAAACACTGTTTATAAATTTAAAGTCAATCGGATATTAACTTTAGCCTATAGAGCGTCCACAAGCAATTGTGGACGCTGGACCGTCGGACGGACGGGGGCGACAATAATATACGACCACATTTCAATGTGGGCGTATAAAAAGAATTTTACCAATTATAATCCTAATAAAAATACTTAGGTTAATTTAAAAATACTTAAATTCCCTCACCTTAAGTACCTCCATAACATCTTCAGCATCAAGCCGGAAATCACACAGATTGTGTAAAACTTCCACTTTGTCATGTAATGACAGTTCAAAATAGGTTTTATCAACCAGTGGGTTTGTTTTAATATGTCCTGCATCATGATGATGACGGAATAAATCTTTCATATATCTATCATAATCCACCACCCTGAAATAAATACAATCAGTGTTTCTGATTAACCAACATCAGATTCATAAGATAGGTTGCCAGGCAACGAAACATATGCCCACAGTAGCTAAATCGTCCAAGCAGTCAACATGAATTGTTGCACATTTTTACTTTTGTTGGTAATGAAAATCAATATACTTGTTCATCTCAAGACCTTAAGAGCCATTCCACGAGAAACCATGCAATATCAGGCAGATGTTCGAAGGTGGGGGTCGGCCGATTAAGTTCATACTCACAGGGTTTGGTCGACCCATCAAGCCTACTCCCAAGCCAAAATCGCCGATTTCAAAAATCAACCGTTTCCGAGATACATGCTGATTACGTTTTTCGGCTGATTTTTGTCATTTTTAGGCCAAATTTTAGCTATTTTTGTCGCACTACTACCGCTGTTGCATGACCCTGGCGAACTAGGTTTTGGGTGTTCGTGATAGTCGGGGTAATACCCTATCACATTATCATGGCCACCCGGTTCAAGTTCATTTTCCATAGGTGTCAGGAGACTACACAAGATACTTGTCTTGAGATACCTGAAATGTGCCCTATCTTCAGATCGCGATAACTCCACTGGAGCAGGGTTTGCGATAAAAATTAAAATCAATTTATTTGCAGCTTCACCAGTTCTAACAACATAAGAAACAAAATCTTTGTCAACTAAATTGCATAAGTATGAAAATTTGTGTCGAAAGTTACCAAAAACTTTAGTTTTGATTGGGATACATCGGCGGATTATTGAGGTACCCAATGGCCAATATATTGTACCCAATAATATTGTTATTCAAAGGGTAAGTATATCAACTCCGGCTTCCCTACAACCCGCTTTGCCTAAATATTCAGTCTCAGTGTGGTTTGGTATCCAGTCTACAAATCCAAGATGGCGTCTCCCAGTGAATATGGATTTTCGCAAATTCTCGATCTAGAATGTCGATCCTGATTATTTAAACATTTTTTTTTCTATGAAAAATGAAAAATTTCAATTCAAAATTTTGAAAAACAGTCGAGTTAGAGCAGATGAAAGTCGACAATTATGCAAAACAGACCCAATTTCCATGAAAATCGCCTATTTAGTCTTCACCGTGACCTTCAATCGCGAGGTCATCAGGGATACAATTTGAAGTTAACACGTTGCTCTATCGACAAACCATATCTCAATCGAAAATATTGAAAAACAAATGAGTTAGAGTTGGGATTTCAAAAATTTTCTTGTCCGACATTTTACCGAAAATAAAGGGGTATAACTCTTATCGTTATTTAAGCAGACGGATTCATACCACAATTAAAGATAGGTTGTCAGGCAACGAAACATACGCCCACAGCAGCTAAATCGTCCGGGCAGTCAACAAGAGTTGTCGCATATTTTTACTTTTTCTGGTAATGAAACATTTATAATACACTAAAATCTGATTAAGAGCAACAACTCAGAAAACCATTAAATTTGTTTGGTTTTTATAAAGTTCTGCCCTATGCTAACGTTTTGTATACAAAACTTTTAATACTGTATCATGGATTTAGCTGTTCCAAGTCATAAAAATTCATTGAAAATCAATATACTTGTTCGCCTCAAGATCTTAAACTCTGTGTATCAATCTGAAGTCAATCGGATATTAACTTTGGCCTCTAGAGCGTCCACAAGATTTTTCAAAGTGATCAAGGGCCATAACTTTGGCAGTAATTATCAGAATTCTTTGAAAATCAATAGGATTCTTCGCCTCAGGACCTCAAACACTGTGTATAAATTTAAAGTCAATGAGATATTAACTTTAGCCTTTAGAGCATCCACAAGGTTTTTTGAAGTGATCAAGGGCCACAACTCTGGCAGTAATTATCGAAAATCACTGAAAATGAATAGACTTCTTCGTCTCATGACCTTAAACACTGTGTATAAATTTAAAGTCGATCGGATATTAACTTTAAAACTCTAGAGCGTCCACAAGATTTTTCAAAGTGATCAAGGGCCATAACTCTGGCAGTAATTATTGTAAATTGCTGAAAATCAATAGGCTTCTTCGTCTCATGACCTTAAACACTGTGTATAAATTTAAAGTCAATCGGATATTAACTTTGGCCTCTAGAGCATCCACAAGATTTTTTGAAGTGATCAAGGGCCATAACTCTGGCAGTAATTATCGGAAATCGCTGAAAATCAATAGGCTTCTTTGTCTCATGACCTTAAACAGTGTCTATAAATTTAAAGTCAATCGGATATTAACTTTGGCCTCTAGAGCGTCCACAAGATTTTTTGAAGTGATCAAGGGCCATAACTCTGGCAGTAATTATCGGAAATTGCTGAAAATCAATAGGCTTCTTCGTCTCATGACCTTAAACACTGTGTATAAATTTAAAGTCAATCGGATATTAACTTTAGCCTCTAGAGCGTCCACAAGCAATTGTGGACGCCGGACGGACGGGGGCCACGACAATATACGACCACATTTCAATGTGGGCGTATAAAAATCACGTGTCAACAAAATATTCAAATCCGCACGTAATAAAAATTGGAACACCTCGCTATTTTTGCACGGCCACATTCTCGTGTGGATGTATATTGGTCGCCCGTCCGTCAACAATTTGTTTATGGGCACTCTACAGGTCACAATTTTTATCCATTTTTAACAAAACTTGAAATATAGGTTTATGTCCCTAAGAATTCGGCTCCTGTCGATATTGGTATGTATCGGACCGTAACTTCATGGACTATGGCCTCTGAACTTACGAAAAATCACGCCTTTAGCTTGTGGACACTGAACTTTCAGGTTACAATTTTTATCCGATTTTGATAAAAGGGAGCTTGGCTGTTTTGGGGTGTAGTCTGTCGTCATGTCCTCGTAAAAGTGACATTTATGCAACAGCGTTAAATGGGCTTTGCGGGGAATGATGCGGGGGAGATAACTCTGTTTAGGTTAAACAGAGGGCGCTCCTACACTGCCTAAAAGAGCATGGTTTGTCTGGTGACATTTGTAAGGTTTAAATTTCTAATTATTCACCCACCCTCCCACCCGCGGGATATACTGTACCCCATCTTTGGGAAGCCTAATATTTATGTAATTAAGCAATGTCAATATACCTCATTACATATTAGTGTTTTAAGTTTGTACCATAATATGTTGTTGTTAGATTATTATTATTATATATGTAATACTCCTTTTGTCATTTATTTGTAATAAATGGCCATTTCAATCTCAAACAGGATTATACATTTGTTACCGAAAGGAGCTTGGCTGTTTTGGGTGTAGTCCGTCGTCATGTCCTCGTAAAGGTACGTTTATAACCCAATGAACTCGGTTCCTTTCGATATTCTCGCATATCGGATCTTAACTTCCTGGATTGTGGCCCATGATTGTACAAAAAGTCGCGTTTTTAGCTTGTAGCCCCTCTAAGAGGTCACAATTTTTTTTTTCTATTTTTAAAAACGCTAATGATGGCGGAGTTCGAATTTCGTGGAAATCGGATCGAAACTGCCGGACAAAATGGCCGCTCCTTGTACGCAAATAGTGTAAAAGTATGTAATTCCAAGTTTGTGGACACCCTCGAGGTCACAATTTATATCTGATTTTCATGAGACTTAAAACAATTATATTCAGATCCCAAAGATCTCGGTCATTGTCGATATTCGCGCATATCGGACAGTAACTTCGTGGAATATGAACTCCGATTTTAAGAAAAATCGCGTTTTTAGCTTGAAGTTCCTCTTGAGGTCACAATTTTTATCCGATTTTAAAAACCGTTTCAATATATCACTGTTACGCCCTAATGACAACTAAGTTCAAATTTCATGAAAATCGGAGCGAAACCGTCGGACAAAATGGCCGCTCCTCATAAGCAAATAGTGTAAAAGTATGTAATTCCAAGATTGTGGACACTCTAGAAACACAATTTTTATCCGATTGTGATGAAACTTAAAATGTATGTTTATATCCCAAAGATCTCGGTTCCTTTCGATATTCGCGCATATCACATCATAGCTTCCTGAATTATGATCACTGAATATACAAAAAACACATTTTCTTCTTGTAGTCCCTCTTAATGTCACAATTTTTATTCGACTTGATGAAACTTTTATATTATATACTTTTATATCCCAAAGACCTTGGTTCCTTTTGATATTGTCGCATGTCGGACTGTAACATACATGATGATAGCCCCTGGTTGTACCGTTAACATATAACACATACAGTTTGTTTCGTAGTAAGCACTGCCTTACATAATAAGCAATTTTCGTGCGATAATCGAGATCGCGGGAATTTATATGTGGTGTCTTAAAAGAAGTAGTTTCATTACGGAAAATAAGTTAAAGGTTTAACAATAGACAGAGGTTTTGAAATTTATGATGACTGTCCATTGATTTGGGGTGTTATATACTATTAGGATAATATGTGACATCAAGTACTAGTTTCTACATGCTGTCGGTTGATATCAATGGATTAAACTTTCCGTCAATGGAGAAACCACCGAGGTAATCACGTAGATAAGGTTGATACTCATTATTGGATTGATGAAAAGTCCGACAAAAGAGAAGCAATGACTTCTGTTCAAGATTAGATTGGTGAATTTCCCGACAAAGGCAGACTAAGCAGGTAAACAACGTAGGTGTATAGACGGTATAATACGATAAATACACTGATCACGTAATTACCTAATCAATCCAGCCTATTATCAACAATTCTCGGGATGAGTGGTAGTTATGCATTCAGTTTACTATATTATTTTTGAAATTCTGAATATTATTCATCATACTTTGATGTCCATTTGGAAAATAGCATAGGACATGTCCGGAATATACGGGCGAAATTCCAATACTTAAGAAAATGAAATTCGACTCGAAAAGTGACGAATTTCGTAACTTTCGACACAAACTTTCATGCTGTTGAGGTTTAGTTGACAACGATTTTATTTTTTATGTTGTTAGAACAGGTCAAGCTGCAAATAAAACGATTTTCATTTTTATCGCAAACCCTGCTCCAGTGGAGTTATCGCATGACACC